CATCTAGGATAGCTTGTAAATGAATATTCTCTGAATATCTGTACAGTTGGAACTTGCAGACATTTTGCTTAATAAGCTGACGTAGTCAGTATTTTGTCCGACAGGACTTAGTGATAGATGCAAGACTGAGTGCAGATTATATTTCCTGAAGTTTGTCTGTCTTTTTTCAACATAGAACTTCGCACATATGTACAGCAGTTCAAGTCACCACACTCCATTTAGCACACAAAGCAAGAGGAGAAAGTACAAGAAATGCATAATAGAGACAGTAAGCAGAGATGTGAGACAAAGGAAGAGTAATCACGAAGAACAAAACAGTTTCATTGGAAATCATAAGTCACAAGGAGTGGATGCATCTGCGCCATTCAGAACGATTTTGAGCCATGTCACCAATTGTTTCCAACCATTTGTTTTTACCGCCCAGAGGACCCCGACAAGGAAGTCTACATTTTCCTACGTAGCTGGCTGATTTAAACTAACTGTTGTAGATTTCATTGACTGGTGTCATGTTTTGATCTAACCGCCGTTAGCTCTTTAGCCTGACCCTATATCAGCTAACACTGCACATTGTCGAGGAAAGCAATGACTAGGCATACGTAACACATGTCCTAACCATCTCAGTCGATGTAACTTCACAGCCTCGTCAATTGATTTCCCCTCCTTACCTAGAACTCGACGTCTGACCTCAATATTGCTCACCTTATTATACCACTTCACACGGGAAATAGGACGCAGGTACCTATGATCAGACAGCTAATCTTTTCATGTCTTCTACTCTCAATGGACAGGTCTCATAGCGAGCCATAAAGGAGGACGGAGAGGACCGTTGAGCAGTACACCCACCCTTTTGTCGATAGCCAGTGGGATATCACGTCTGCGCTTGAGACGGCGTAAACTGGCATATGCGAAACTAGCCCTCTGTATCCGTGCTGAGATTTCGTCAGAGATCGAACTGTTGAGGCTGATGGTACTTCCCAAGTAAGTACAGCGGTCAACGTGCTGTACCACTTCACTTCCTATTTCTAATCTAGGGGTCGGTGTAGTCCAGTCCTGTATCATCATCTTGCATTTAGCGGGAGCGAATCGCATGCCGAACATTCGTAGATTGCAGCTCAAGGTGTTTAGAAGACTGCATTTTTTCAGCGTCTTCGCCTAGGAGGAGTATATCGTCTGCATATTCTAAGTCAACGAGATTATTCCCTGGTATCAAGTCAATCCCTGAGTCGCTGAAGTGAGTTAGGGTTAAGTCCATTAGTACATCTATGATGAAGTTGAATAGAAAAGGGGATAATGGGCATCCTTGACGGATACTACTAGTCGTCACCATTTCAGATGACAACTCGCCGTAAGCCCTCACCTGGCTGCATGAGTACGAGTAGGGTGCCTTAATCAGTGCAATGTATTTTCTCAGCATTCCCTTTACAGCGAAGCGTCGCCAGAGAACCTCTCAGTCGCCAGAATCGAATTCCGCCTTTAGGTCAAGGAATATAGTGATTGTTGGACGCCGGTAAGAATGCCTATGTTCTAGAATCTGTCGAGGGGTGAAGATATGATCAATACACCCTCTTCCTGGTCTAAAGCCTGCCTGGCTCTCTCGTGTTTGTGCCTCCCGAGCACCACTTAGTCTTCGCATTATTATTGAGCCTAGGACTTTAGATACTATATTGGTCAAGCTAATCCCTCTGTGATTATCACAGGAAGACTTGTCTCCCTTCTTGTATATGGGGATAATCAGTGACTTACACCAACCCGATGGGACTTCCTTTGATTCCCAGACGCTTCCTAGATCCTCAGTTAATGCAGACAGTAAACTGTCTCCACCGTACTTAAATACCTCTGGATTCATTTCATCAGGTCCCGCTGCTTTGCCTTGTTCCAGATTGGTGACAGCTTTAGAAACCTCAGTTAGGGATGGAGGACCTGTGTCTATGTCCCATTCAAAGAGGTGTTGGATGTTCGGCAGGTTGAGCATGGCTGTGGGCCAATTAAACTGCTCCTCATAGTGCTCTTTCCAGCGTTCCAGTCGTCTATCATGGGAGCTAACTATGGTACCATTTTTCTCCGAAATTGTTTTACTTATCATTTGCATTTTACCACCTATTTCCCTGATAATTCTAAATAGTTGTCTGGTGTTGCCAATCGCCGATGCCTTTTCCATCTCTTTCGCTTTTGTCGCCCACAACTGTTCACGTTCGTTGCAAAGACATTTGTAAGTTATCATTTGAGTAGCTTTCGCTCCTCATCATAATCCGAGCTCTCTGGAATCAGTCTTCTTGCGTCAATCAGTTCGGATGAGGCGGTGGAGATCCAGTGGCTTTTACTAACTTTAGGTTTTAGCTTATTAACAGCTTTCACAGCTGTGTCTACAGCTAACTGTATGCTGTGCAAGGCTACCTCAGGGGAAGTCCTGCTGTCGACTTCAGAAACTCGTTTCGCTATTTCTTTCTTAAATAAGGTCTCAGTGTCTCGATCTAGTTGAGGACGTAACTGTTACGCTTCCGTCAATTTCTTATGTCTATTTAGTCGTAAGCATAAACGTGCGCGAACCAGAGCGTGATCGGAGTCTACGCACGTGTTCCAGAAGTAGCAACAGTCTTCTACTGACCCTCGTCAACGATACCCTATGGCTATGTGGTCTATTTGTGTCCAGCGTTGGTTTGATTATGGGGGTCGCCAAGTCAAACATTGTCTCTCCTTGTGTTTGAAGTTAGTGCTTACAAGAAACAAATGATTATCTGAACATAACTTTGGGAGACGGTCACCGTTGTCGGTTTGCTGGAGCATTAAAGCCACCAGCTAGAACGACTATGTCTGAGGTTTAGCCTTTCGCATCAAACTTGACAGCTTTTGGTAGAACTCATCCTTCGTTTCATCCGAACTGCAGTCAGTGTGGGCGAAGGCGGAGATTACGAAAAGTCATCGGCGAGAAGGGCAGTCCTTTCTCTTTTAACTGATCCGTTCAGACGGACAGCACACATTCGGCTGTCTACCGGGATCCAGTCAAGTAATGTCTTTTCTGCGCTAGTACTCAAAGCTATTCCTACACCAGGTAATCCTCGTGAACTAGCTGCAGCATCTCCTGACATCCTCAAGGTGAATTTTGCAGATTCAACCTGTTGGCCAAGTGGGGTTAAGTGAATAACCACACTTGCGTCTTGTATGAAGTAGGATACGAAGATTCACAGTTGTGGTGGAGATATTGAACAACCACAAGGGCCATAAAATCAAAATCACACAGGCCTCGATTTATGGATTTGTGTCATGTTGACTAGTTATTTCCGACAAACAAGTGTTTTGAAGAAGTTCGTAGAAAGAGAATGAAATGTCGTTTTGTGAATGAAGGATAAAAGTAGATGATATATGTAGAGAAGCTGGACAAGCCCCTCCTTAACACATACCTTCCACCTGTCCACATAAATAGTTAGGGATTTGATAGTGTCTTGAACTAGGATTTATAGTATCCAAAATAAATCCATTGTTAATATGCTGTTAATTCCAAACGATCTGTCAGCCGAAATATAGTGATAGGTGCTGACGCAGTGCCCGATTTTAGCACTCACTACTGAACCAGCCTCATCAAAAGACAACCATGTTATGTAGCCTTCCCAAACGCGTTTTGAGAGGACAAAGAACTATCTAGATACCTGGCTCAACAGTATCAAGTTTCAGTCCCATATTTCTCATCAGTAAACCAAGGAAACCTGATATCATCTCAGATATGAGTTGAGATATTTCGACATGACCAATTACAGTCAAGTAGTTTTTGGTTACGGAACGCATAACATTGATGACAGTGCAAGCATGTGATATCGGACAACGTTATCCACTAGTCGTACAGCTCAGCTAATATCTCTAGCTGAGATACGATATGACTCCATCTGTGCAGACTGTAATTGAATGTAGTTGCTGGTGAACTGCAGAAACATTCCCAAGAAAATTTTCACTGTTGCTATCAGTATTGTTGATCGTTTCTTGCGTTCTTTCTGGAATATTCAGTTTCAATCGCACATTCTCACTGCACTCAGTGCATTTCATAGTGTTCTTAAGATTTTCTGAACACATGAATTACAGAGCAGCGATAAATCTGTCTTAGTGCAAAGAACACAGAGATAAGTGAGGCTTATGAAATGTCCAACACTGGGATAAATATTGCAAATTGATTTGACGGGATCCTGCATTTCACTAAATAAACACCTAACTCAGCAACTGTTATGTCTCCTACTTGGTAATAGATTTTAATAGTGTGTAGCTAAAACAGGTGAAAATCAACATGACAGCGGGGGATGGATTATTGGTGCATCATTCTAGTGCAGTAAATCCCAATCAAGTGATGTGCTACCATCACTAACTAGCGGCCACCATAAGGTCATATCCTCAGCGAACTACGATCCTCTTCTCATATCCTCAAACATACATCTACTTAAAACACATGAGGAAGTGATGCCTCAAAACATTCCTCTGACAATGAGATCCTCACCGCCAATCACTTACGCCTAAACCATATATTACCTGGACTGATAAAGCTGGCCGACATAAACAATCTGAGGAAAAGCCATGTTAAGTTCACCACATCATCAACGGTCCCCAAACTAACCAATGCCGGTCCATAACGAACAAGTATTTTCCATGAATGTCATTAATCACTTGTGATGTGCTAAATTGTCATTTACACTGAAATTATGAGAAACGTGGTGAGTAATAATGAATTTAACCGGTGTTAGTGGATACCACTGTCGAGTCCAGAAACAAATGATTCTGGAACTATTAATCATTATGCACTGATTTTAGACAGGCGAGTTCTTCATCAGTCTGGATTAATTCGAGTTTAGATCAATGATGAAGATGCCCGAATGTTAGCTGAGACCTTTTTTCTCTTAGTCATTACAAACCTATGTATGCTGCTCTAAACTCACAACTGTGTTCACTGCAGTTGTTGAGTTTGTAGAACACCTTGAAATAAAATTACTTGTTCAAATAAAAAGGTAGTAAATAACTTTACAAAATTTGTTTATTTTCAGTGATTTACAGGATCCAGTACAATGAGGTTTAGTCATCGTGAACATCAGCCAATCTTATCTGTGACTCACCGAAATCGAATACAGTATAAAACTTGCTCATGAACACATTTCCAAGAATCCAATATCCAGAGGATAATTTATGATTGCTGGCAAAAGGTGATGTACAGTCTGTATAGAGCCAGTTGTCCACCTGAAATCGAAAGATACAACGAATTTACTTCAGTTTCAGACCTCAAGTCCTGTAAAGAAAATTGAGAACAACCTTAGTGAATGTCGAATTCGCCTAATCCCATAGCCAACTCCGACTGATCAGAATAAAAGCAGTGGGCGTTCCTTTGCAGCTAACACGAATATGCTGATTACAGTTGAAGTTTATTTATGTGATTAACGAATGAAATAAATAAAACCGTGTGAAAATGCAGAGAATTATTTAGGGTGGTGTTGATGACTCCTTAAATGAATTTTAATTTATCTTCTGATTATTTCAACGCGTTATACAAAACAAACCAACCGGCTGGAAATAACACTGTGCAGATCATATGGGAAGCTCACATATCCTACAAAAAGCCATCGACTCCAACCAATAAGTGACTGAAATCAAACCACAATGTTCACATGGATTTCACAATAATTTGTTGTCTGTTAAATGAAAAACTAGTGACATTGGTGAAGGTGTTTTCTCGGTGTGGTGATCACAAGAGAATCACAATGTTCAACTGAATGATTATACTCACCATAACTACGTAATCCTTCGGGGTAAATACATATGTCCTCTTCCTGAAAACAAATTCAACTGAGGGGAGCTTGTCAATATTATTACAGTTGACTGAATACTCTCCTTCACCACTCCATCTGGCATGAAGATGGGTATTAACCGCACGAACCACTCGACTGTGTCCCAGTATTAAAGACGTTCCAGTATCTATAATACCAATGCACGATCCAAGGCAAAAATCCTTTCCGCCTATCTTCATGCTAAATGAGGTGAAATAAACATAACTGAAGATTGACCAGTCAATTTAACGAAGTGGGAATCGATCTAAATTAATCCGATCAAAAAACCTTGTCGTCCTAATAATGAAACGCAATGAGCTTACTTAGTTCTTCTCAGTCAGCTCCATACAAAGACATAAATATCTGCCTTTTGACTAACCGTTATATCTCATTGGAATTTTTCGCACCTCCAGCCAATGCCTGCCTTCATTAAATCAATCTAATAACTTTCTTCTTTGTTTGTACGTTCGTATACATATAAAAGCGCTACTGAAATTACGCATACCATGAAAGTTTCTACTTCAAATTAAGTAAAATATCTTGACTTCACACCATAAGCATTTCAACTGCGATTCATTTCATGCATTGAGGTGATGGTGGTCAAATGACTGGTTTATTTGTTTGGAAGAGAAAACCTTAGGTACAAACCGACCATGAGAAATTACAGATGCAGAATAACTGTCTACTTATTTATTATCTGGAATGCATGACCTTATTACTAGAAAAAGTGGGAATTGTTGCGTGTATTAAAATTTATTTTGGTCAGAAGTCATAATTCCACATTTCCTGCGACCTTAATGTCCACGAGAAAATAGTGATATGTCTGCGCATGAAATCATTCAAGCATCAAACGACTACCTTTTGATTACAACAGACCAACGGTCATGAGAAGTGACAGGCAAGTTTTCGAAATCTCCGATAAAATATTCAGGATTGACACCACCAATCACCAACTCTCCACCGACATGACCATTCTTCCTACAAAATACAAAAACCACGAAAACTGTGCTTAGCTTACTTGGTTAGAAGTGAGATCAATTCAGCGCTCCTTCAAAAATAAATGTGAACGGTGATCAGTATAAACATGACGCGCAAATTTGCATGAAATCACAAAATTCAATATTTGTCTCGAACACTCTACTTTTGAGTGGCATTCAAGTTGCACGTGCAAGCGATGTAAGTTAAGACTTCTGATATAATGCAGTACTATTTTCCAAATATTATTTCGTATTGATGAACATATTTTGCACAATATGCACTAGAAGACACTACTCATGGCAAATAATCGTCACGAATACGCTGATAATTCACTGCCTATAATAACAGATGAGAAGACAGTTTCATCAAATTCATTAAGGATGATCACACTGGACAAATGAGGGAAACGTTGTCATCAAATACGGTGAAAATGAGGAAGGAGCTGGATTTGGATTTTTGCCCTAAAGTATTTGAGAACTTAAATTTCTCGGATTCTGTAGATCATTGTGTGCATTGTTTCTTGGGAACATATCTTGATAGGTTATCAATACTTCTGATTTCAGACAGGAATAATTTTCGCTCAGTTATGAGTCCACTTTGGAGCTATGAACTGGTTGGGGAATGTGTGAAGATAGAATACTGCATTGAGGCGATTCAATGAGTGTCCGTATTTAACTTGCTCATATGCACTGAGTCATATACACCCTGAAAAATGCACTCTGTGCACTCTTATGCGAATGTGGTCCTAAACTAATACCTGTTCGATGGATTCCAAATTTATTTCACAGTAGAGATTCATCATATGCATTCATATATAGATGATTAAACCCATTTCCTTCTAAGTGGATCTGTATTCCGAATAAACTAAATATTGAGTCACATTAGTAACACCAGATACATATGAATGGCAGTGAACTACTCACATAACTAGCAATTATCAGCCGTTGATTGCAAGTGTAATACAACCATGGTGTAAATCAGAACCTACCGACTCAAATAGAACGAAAATACTGGGTCCATATCCCATGATTGAGAGAGTATATTCGGGAAGAATGGAGTGTTCCCATATATTGACACATTTCTCCTTGACAAACCAACGATTCCATCATACTTACTACCAAAGAAATCGTCGGAAAACACATTTGTCACTTCACCAAACGCCTGATTGCGAATGACTAAGGAGCTTATCTAAAACCAATATCACTTCAAGTTGTGAAACCACAATACCTGCATTGTATCCATACTCCAAAATCCAGAGTAACTACCTTTGAGATAACTGATATTAAATTTGGTACCATTCGACTGGTAGGTGGATGATTTTGAACTGTCGTAGAATCGAATGAACCAACATGGAATATCAAGAAGCCAACATTTTCTTGACGGTAGCCAGGTGTCGGTTGATCCTGTGTCGAAGAGTACACGAAACTTTTGTGGTGGCGTTCCCACAAGCACTTCCCCGTAGTACTGAATCTGAAAAGGATATCATGAACGTAAGATTTGGAAAATCGTCTGTGATTTCAATCTCATGATGAACTAGTCTACATTAATTACAACAATAGGTATTTTTAAAGACTTCTACGAATATTTGATTGGTCTGACCATGTGCGGAACAATATTCAAGTGAAAGTCATCGAAGTATTGACAATACAGCTTGAGAGATCTAAGAATTTCGATTATGAAATCTGATCAAAGAAAGAATAGAAGTAAATCAGTGTGCAAGAGTGCCAATCCACCATTAAATATATTTATTTTGTGTCACGGTGTTTTGGTATTATTTGTTTACATGTGACATCTAAATCACGGTGTACTGCAGACTATCGTGTCACCTTAATATCTAGTTTGTAGTCGTGATGAAAATTCATTGAACTGCTAAAAATGAGAGATAATAACAGGTAGACATTCTCTTCAAATTAATATCTACTGGTGATATAGTCAGGGAAGAATATCGCCACAGCTTATTTTCTCATTAAAACAGTATCAACGAAATCATTTTAGCTACTCTGATTCTGCATTCAGTGGAAAAAATATTTCTAATACATACACTTACATTAATTATGTGGTATTGCAGATTCAGATATCACTCAAATCAACAAGCATTTGCTTCATTACTGTAATTCGACTTACATTGTCATAATTATACAGCGGTTCTGATTTTGGTGTATCTCCGACATTCAATAAATTCACCCAGCTTTGTTGTAATAACCTGAACAGTTTCCGATATGGAGTCAGCATTGAACTGATTCCAGTCACAGGATGCAAAGGAATCTTGATAATCTCAGAATTCACATGACACAGACAGATGAGAATATGATCAGGTTCATTGCAATGAATGTCAGAAGGAGACGCGAAAACCTTGACAATGTCTATCCGTCCAAATATGCATGCATTTATATTAACACGCTCGTAACAACAAAATTTCTGATTGGACTTCACCGTGATTTTGTTTGTTGTTAGCACATTAGTAAGTGATGTTTGCGAATGATGGCACATACAAACATGCTTTATGAATAACTGAATGTATGCGATATACGTGCAATTGAGTCCCTTTAGCATGATGGACTTATGATGTGTGAACAGATACTTCATTTGAGTAATTTCGAAATTCTCTGTGAATACTTCAAATAAGAAATATTGGAGCGACAATTGTTTTCAATAACTTGGTTTTCGGTTCGAACAGTGTCAGATCTTTGAACATATTCCTGCAGTAGACGCCGAATGCGGAAAAATAACCTTATCAATAACAGCAATGTAAGAGATAGTGTGAAATGAGTTCGGTTGAAAGGATGGTGTTGTTTTTTTAGTAGTGTTGTTACCTGCAAAATATGCAGTCAGTGTAGGTATAAGACAAGATGATAAGATCAGTCTTCTATAGAAACCGTAATACAAGCTCAGAGGATTGAATTATTAGTACTGAATAGAATGATACTATGTGTCCAGTTAACCAGTAAGATACGCCTAATTACCGTTCACAAGGTGGCCAACAGTATAAATAATAATGAAAATAATACTCACCACTGAATACTGGAGAGGTGTTTTCTTCTAGTTTTAGACTCCTCAGTGGTACACATTCCTGCTAGCAACATGTGCGCCGACAACTGACAAGACTCGAATTAGGAACTCTGATTTTCACTGATTCTCTAACGGATTTCTAATCATCATCTTAGAAAAACATGATAGGAACTGTAGTCAGTTGGCATTGCTGATTCTCGATTTGCCTCCTTACCGCCCATCAGTTTGCTGTCGGTTTCAATTTCTAAAATTATAAAATGTTTATATTTAATCTTATTTATTTCATGTAGTTTCAAGTCATCCCATCTCCGTAAAAGTAAATTCTGTCTGGACACATTTTATGTCAGTTGTGATGTTTTCGTCGATCAGGTAATTATCCAGAGTAAATATCTCACTCTAGTCAAGTGAAAAGTGTTCACACTGAATTAATTCCATTTCTGGTTCAATACTGTCTTGTATCGACAAACAAGTCATACCATACTCAGCTAGTGACATGCTTCCAATGTTTCACTGCAGTCGAATTCTATCTAATTTACCAATAGTTTCCACACGTCTAATGCCTAGAAATTCTTAAGATGAATAGCATTAGTTGTCAAGGAATTAATTCATTGAGAAACAGTAGACTAAATTGTAAATAGTTTCAGGAAAGCTGAGCTTTCATTTGCTACATTTCACCCTGTTATCTAATGAGTAAATTAAAATATGTTTGATGATAACACACATTGACGTCATCGATATACCGATGACTTCTATGAATTCAGTCAATATAAGCAGGATGAATAGACGTAAAAGTACTACGAAGTGATTTGTAAAATTAAGAAGTTGAAGTGAACAGATTCTGCCCCCTTCACATTGTTTGAGGTTTCATTCACTACTGCTAATCCGAATAACACGGAGTGACATATGTGTTGATATAATTGATTGAATTATTGTGAGTGAACATACATATCAAGTTGACTATTGGATTGACAACCAGGAATCCAACAATTATCACAACTTTAAATCTCGAAAATTACCCATTTATTCATAAGTAAAAACACAGCTTTTGTTCAGCAAAGAAATTTCTTTTCAACGACTTCATTTTCAAGCTGTACAGTCGTATTTATATTACAGAAAAAGGTTATTAAGTGGCACTAAATAATTGCTCAGTCAATGTACGTATATATGTGATAAAAGTTATAAGGGGTAGAGTTGAAGTGGATAAATTACAAAAATATTAAAGATTGTTTTATAATTAATATCAGTAAAAAGTTTGAGCATTGTGGATTAGATCAAATAAAGTATAATTATATTTTAATAGTTTACACACAATGATAAGTTTTGTTATTGGTAATATTTCAAGCAAAATTACTGCCCGGAATAAAACAATTCCAACAGTGGTGTGAACACGGGCAGTAATTTTGCTCGAAATATTACCAATAACAAAACTTATTATTGTGTGTAAACTATTAAAATATAATTATACTTTATTTGATTGTTTTATAACAAAAATGTCAAGTGTTGTCTGAAAATTTTGAAAATTAGGAGTACGATTACGATAAGAATGAAGATGTGAAGTGAAGTGGAAAGAATTCAAGTGGTAAAATAAAATAAAAACTAGAAAGAACATTATTATGACCAAGGTAAAGAAAGGGGTTTGACAAAACGCTTTTGAACACATAATTTAGGTTTGTGTTCATGTATAGCTAAAGCTTCGGCTATGCATAAGTGAAGAAAATGTAAACTTTTGGATCGATTCGATTTTGCCATGTAGATAACTTTGAAAGATGAATCACGTGGGGCTAAATGACCAGACTCTAACAGGTGATCACAAATAGACGATTTTGCAGTTCTACGTTCGCCTTTCATTAACCAAACCGAATAGTGTTCAGCTACACGTTTTCGGAGATTACGCTTACAACGTCCAAGAAAGAATTCGCCCCGAGACAAGTCACAGTACCAACGAAAAAGCTGTTTATGAGTCTTGCATTCAAAGGTGACACCATTTCAGAATTGATTAAAAGTCGGTTATCTAAATGTGTTAAACGCACTTTTCTTGCAGCTGACCAGCAACTAGTTTCTACCAGCCGAAATATAATTAGACAATGCTTCAAGGATAGATTACCACTTTTTGTCCACATCTATGTTCATTTACTCTTTTACTTGCTCTTGTGGAGCTGTTTATATTGGACGTTGTAAGCGTAATCTCCGAAAACGTGTAGCTGAACACTATTCGGTTTGGTTAATGAAAGGCGAACGTAGAACTGCAAAATCGTCTATTTGTGATCACCTGTTAGAGTCTGGTCATTTAGCCCCACGTGATTCATCTTTCAAAGTTATCTACATGGCAAAATCGAATCGATCCAAAAGTTTACATTTTCTTCACTTATGCATAGCCGAAGCTTTAGCTATACATGAACACAAACCTAAATTATGTGTTCAAAAGCGTTTTGTCAAACCCCTTTCTTTACCTTGGTCATAATAATGTTCTTTCTAGTTTTTATTTTATTTTACCACTTGAATTCTTTCCACTTCACTTCACATCTTCATTCTTATCGTAATCGTACTCCTAATTTTCAAAATTTTCAGACAACACTTGACATTTTTGTTATAGAACAATCATTATTATTTTTGTAATTTATCCACTTCAACTCTACCCCTTATAACTTTTATCACATATATACGTACATTGACTGAGCAATTATTTAGTGCCACTTAATAACCTTTTTCTGTAATATAAATACGACTGTACAGCTTGAAAATGAAGTCGTTGAAAAGAAATTTCTTCGCTGAACAAAAACTGTGTTTTTAATTATCACAACCCCACTTTGTAGGTTGACTAAAATTCGAACAAGATGTCTCTAAAATACAGTACCATAAATATAAAATATGGAATGCAATATACAAACCTCATTTTGTGAGTTTTCTGTGTCGAAAATCAGTGCCGATCTGCGTTGAAATGTACTGGAACAGCCTGAAGGTGGTTTGGAATCAAACATGCATGGAAGCTCTAGTCAGAAAAAGAGACAGGACAAACACTGGCTCACTACGTAAACATGACGACTGATAGAAGACAGAAGGATGTAAAACAGAAGATTATCCAGTGAATCGACGAGCAACAAAAACAGGAGTTGGATTCAAGCGACAATACATTGAACAGAAGAATAAAGAAAAGTGCCAGGGAAGACAGAAGAAAATATTATGTAGCTATGACAAGTGAAGCAGAACAAACTGCAGACAAAAGAGATCTCGCAACAGTCTACCAAACAACTAAGTTCCTATCGTGGAAATGTTCAACATAAATTAAGCCAGTTAAGGATGACAAGAAGAAGTCAATCACCAAAGAGGTGGAACAAAGGAAACACTGAACTGATCACTTCAAAGAATTCTTATTCCTTCATAACCTACAACACGCCCAATAATACCAACAGCGGACACAGAACTACCAGTTGATACCAACCCTCCTACGAAAGTAGAAATCATGTAGGCAATAAAGATGCTAAAAGCTTAAAAAGCAGCATAACAACACGGAATCCCCTTAGAAGAATTGAAAATGGACCCAGAAACATCAGCAGTCTTGATGACACCACTACTGGATAAGGTGTCAAAAGAGGGCAAAATACCTGCAGATTGGAAGAAAAGCTACTTATTCAAACTGCCAAAGACAGGAGACTTAGGCCAATGCAAGAACTGGCGAGGCATTATGCTCACGTCTATTCTAAGCAAAGTGCGAAGCCACATCATCCTGGAGAGAATCAAACAAGCCTTGGATGAAAAATTTCGACCGTAAGAGATTGGGCTCAGGAGAAACAAGCCATGGATCGATCAAATCGCAAAACAACGTGTTATCATTAAACAGAGCTTGGAATGACAGTCACCTCTCTATCTCAATTTCATCGACTTTGAAAAGGCCTCCAGCAGACAGCGTCGATCGAGAGGTGATTTGGCAACTACTTCGCTACTACAGAGTACAGCAGACAAATATACACCTCATCCAACAGTTGTACGAGAATGCTGCAGGCCAAGTAATCCACAACGGGAAAATAACCGAATCCTTCGGAGTGAAGACAGGAGTATGATGAGGCTGGCTGGCTGCCTACTACCTCCAATGACTTTCCTGATTGCGGTAGATTGGGTAGTGCGACAGACAGGGAGGGAACAGGTATAAAATGGGCCCACATAAAACATTTGGAGGATCTGGACTTCACCGATGGTAATATTTTTTTGATTTCCCACATACTGGAACATATGCATGTGAAAAGCAACAAGTTGGCAGAAGGAGCACCAAAGATAGGAAGGATTTCAGGTGAATATAGGGAAGACAGAGGTGATGAAGATTCCCGGCCAACACCAACAGCAACAACAACAGACAACAAGCAGAACAAATGGGAGGAGTCTGGAAGAAGCAGCCTCCTTTACCTGACTACCTGGGAAGCATCGTTTCAGCTACAGGCAGATAGAACTGACGACAATATCGAAGCAAGGATAGGAGAAACAAAGCAGGCTTTCATTACTCTCAAATCTGCGTAGAGACCAACAGCACTACTATGCATGAAAACTAAGATCGAATTTTCAACTGCAATAGGAATTGGGTGCTACTATGCAAATCAGAGGGGCACTTCAAAAAAACTACAAACCTTCATCAACAG